AATACAACAAAAGGAAGTGAGGCGTCTGTCTGCGCCAGTCTCTAGGGTGTTGGGGTGTCAGCCTCTTCAACTCGCAAGGTTAATGAAGCAGCTGTGGGCAAGGACGTTCCTTGGCTTTTTGTGTGTAGCACCATATGATGTACATCTAACGTCATGTGGTTTGTTTCTGTTAGAAGCTCAATCATATCCTGTACCATATAAAAAAATTTTTTTTGATGAGCCAAAGATTTTATAGCAAACTTAACCCCAATTTTTGAAAAAGAAGTCACTTTTTAAAAGAAAAAATTAGAATAAATTGTCAGAATTAAATATTTTTAAAGAAAAAATTTTTTTAAGGTTGGAGCTGTGGCCTATAGGAAATGTCCTCGTAAAGGGACACGGTTCTTTCGCAAACCTTTCGCGTTCCCCAGAGAAACATTGTGTTTGCTTACAAAAAAGTTTGTGATGGAAATAATAGGAAGGACAAAACTATACTTCATTGATTTTGCGAACAAGTGCCAAGTTTGTTAGGGGAATGCAACAGTTTTCCAAAAGAATGCAAATGTTTTACAAGCGAACACAAAGTTTCTTGGAGAAACGCAATACTTTTGAGTGAGAATGCTAAGAAGTTTTTTCAGGGGGAACACTGAACAGTTTTACGAAAGAATGCAAATGTTTTGCAAGTGAATGCAAAGTTTCTCAGGGCAACGCAATAGTTTTGTGCGAAAACGCAAATGTTTTGTGGGTGACCGCAACGTTAAAGGGTTACTCCACCCCAAAATGAAAATTTTGTCATTAATCACTTACCCCATGTTCAAGTGATTAATGACAAAAATTTTCATTTTGGGGTGGAGTATCCCTTTAAGGGAACGCAACAGTTTTGCGAAAAAATGCAAATGTTTTGTGAGCGACAACAACGTTTTTCAGGGGAATGCAATACTTTTGTGAGTGAACGCAAAAGTTTTGCAAATTAATGCAAAAGCATCAAAATATTTTTTCCCTCCCATCTCATATATTATTATTATTATTTTTTTTTGTAAGCACAAGCTGCTTTCAGTTTTGCAAGGACGCTTCACATGTTTGGATGCTTGAAATAGTAAAAAAAAAAAAAAACATTTTCAAACCGCTAAAGAAAATGAATAAATAGTTATCTTTCATTCAGGTCTGTGCTCCTATATTGTAACGTTTATATTTTTAGTATTTTAAACACATATTATGCCTCATACATGAAAAACTAAATCAACTAATTTCTGTGCAAACTGTGAAAACTTCCTTGCGTAAATTGTTGGTAATGATCGGTTTTTACGAACAATTTACAAAGAAATTAATTGCTCATCTATGTCATGAACTGATTCCACAAATGCTCAAAAATGCTTTTTTTCTTATGCCGACAATTTATGGAAGAATGTTTTTACGAAATATGCAAATTATACACAATAGCACCAATTTACGCAACAGTTGTTTTATCAACAGTTTACAAACTTTTACACACAAATGTTATACTTCATGAACAAGGCCCAATAAATAGAGCACATTTACACTTTTAATTGCCTTTAATTTTC